ACCCTTGCGCCACCGCTTTTACTTGAAATTTAGGATTTTAACTTTTGATTAAAACAAAAATGCCTCAACTTTAAACCCAAAAATCTAAGGAACCACTGCATTTACAGAAAAAAGCCACCAGTCCGTTGATAAAGGAGCTTGGCCCTATCATTTGCGCTATGTCCGATCAAAATCCCTCAGGTAAGGTTGACAAAGTTCCCTTGTGAGAAAAGTTTGTTTTTTCTTAACACCTATTTCACCAAGGCTTGTCTTAGTTTTTGAATTTTTTGGCACTTTCTTGAAGTATTAACTGTATTATATCGGGTTTGTTCAATTAAATCGATTTATCGATAATATCGATATTTATCGATTTTTTCTGTGAACATTGCGTCATCATCGATAATCGTTTTTTTAATAATCGCACATCTCTAGCTTGAATAAAGGTTAAATCATTTAACTTAAATGAGTATCAAATAATGAAAAAAAGTATAAGGTTCATGTTGGGCGTGAGTTACTCCATCTTTGCCCTTCCAGTGAACTAAAGAGAGCCAAATATAAACGCTGATGATGAATAATTCAATGAGTTGAAGATGAACAAGAAGAAGAAGAAAAGAAAGAGGGGAAAAAATCTTCTCCCTTCCAACAATTCAAACTTTGTCTCCATTAATAATTCAATTCATGAATCATCTTCTTTTTTTGCCTTCTCCTTCTTTTGAATCTCCCCATGGAGATGATAAACTCAATGTTATTGTTCATTCCAGATTATTCAAATTACCTTACACACAATGAAAGAGAGGGCGAAAGTAAGTTAACAAGGAAGGACCCAAAAATACAAAAATCGCAATCCAATTTCCGGAGAATGAAGAAGAAGAGAAAAAAAAGTTTCTCCTTTTTTTCGCTTGTCAAAAGTTTAACAGGAATCATCATTATTATCATCATCAGCATCATCCAGTAAGCAAGTAAACATCAGCTTGATTGATGCATCATCTAGTTTCAACTTGTTACTTGCACTTTGACTTGATCACTTATTACAGAAAGCATATTTACTTTGATACAAAAATATTAACAACAAGAAAACAAAACAAATCAGCAAAAGTTCCCATAATTGACCATGCAGTTCACATCATCAAATCAGATTATCATGATAACTGGTGATAACAAATCATTTACGGGATTAATCCAGAAACAATGAGCAAGTTGAACAATAAATTTCAAATTGACTCGATTAAGTCTTCAAACCAAATCAGTATTGACAAACCTGAAGTCAAAGGCGATAACTTTGATTCCAGTCTAGTCTTTAGACAAATTTTACTTCAAAATATTCCTGAGTTAACCAGATACGAATGTCTTGGTCAGATCAAAGTCAAGAATCGAAGCCGAAAAGATGATCATTCCCTTGGACTAACAGACTTGGAACAGTCTTTGGTTTCATTTTGTGACCGAAGTCAGGATTTGATCCTAAAAAGATTTGTGCAGAAATTCAAGAAAATGGAATGATAAGAACTTTGGAAACGTTCATGGACATTGATGGATAAATGTGGATGTCATCTTCAATGTTGCTATCAATTTCACGTTTCCATGAAACATCACGCTACCATTGAATATGATGAAAACTGTAAAACCCAATTTCCATCCATTTCTCATTCCTTTCATTTCACTGATTGAAATTATTATTGTCTTTGATTGGAACATTTTTATCCAGTAAATGTTTCCATTTTCATGTGTATTTATGTATACAGACCAATATCCGGTCAATCAGTTTCTCCGTATTTCTCTCTTCATCATCATTTCCATTCAACTTTTTTTTTATTCTCATTTCATCTTCTTCTTTTTTTACTCTCCTTTTCTTATTCAACAGAACCGGAACTTATACAATAGGCTTGTCCTTATGGAACCGGAAAGTCAGGGTAAAAAGCTTTTGGTGGACGATTTTTTTTGCCTCAACTCTTGTTATCCTTTCCTTCATCCTCTTCATCATCCCAGATGTTGAACTCTCATCAATCTTGCATCCATCAATGGGTCAAAAAAAGTGTTTACTGTTATTGGTCAAAGGGTTTATCATTCAAGTTGAACCCGATCATTGTGAATTACAGGAGAGAGAGAGAGGAAAAAGAACAGAATAAAACTGTCAGATTTTTTCATTCCTCAGATTATTTTGCTTTCATTTTGAGTTATTTCTCTCAATAATAGATTGCTATTAATAACTCACAGTGAATGATCAATCTGTTTGAAAAAGACTAACGAATAATCACAAAAATGTCACTTTGATGTTACAATGAAACTGTTTAATTAAAGTCAAAATAATCAAAATACTCTGTCACTGAAATCAACTATGAAACAGTAAATAACAAAAAAGTTTTCTTAAAGACTCAATTCAACTGTCGATGTAACTCAATCTGAAAAGATATTGAATAGCAAATATTGAAATGCTTTGCTCAAATCAACTGAATGGCTTGAGGAACAATTATCAGAATTCAGTAAATTCTTGTATAAAAATCACTTTTTGAAATCAAGATTTTCCTTTTATTTTGTATTCAAAGTGTTGCTGAAATTATCAAAAGTTCAGTTTTTCAAAATGATTATCAGAAAGTGATGATTTCTTGGTGTTTTTGGCCATTCATTTGAAACTCATTCTTTGAGAAAAAGATGTCGATGGAAATTGGGAAAAGATCTTGATTCAATTTCGATTTTTGTTTAACTTTTCGATGATAATTTTGCATGAGACTGTTTCATTGGATTGAACATTTTTGGTTGCAAGTTGATTAGTTTGGATAAAGTTAGTTGCATTGTTTATGGTTGAAAGGGTTGAGTAAATGATACAAATGATGATGGAATGAACATGGAATTTGGAAATTTTCCTTTGTTATTGGAATCAGAGATTGTTTTCTGATTCAGTGTTATCCAGGAAAAAAGTTTCTTCTCTTTATTTTTCATGTGATTTTTGATGGATAATCCTTTATTCAGAAGATAAAAATGATTCTCAAGACTAAGGTTGCTGAAATGGTTGCTCAAAGTAAAACTTGATTCTCAGTTGAGGAGAGAACAAATTATTTGCTTGAAAAGATTCTGATTCTGATTGATGGTTTCTCCTGACATCATGATAAGCCAGAAGTGAAACTGAAGAAGCTCAAGATTAAGATGAAGATGAAAATGGGAACAAGTTGCATGATGAAAGAAAAAGGATAAAAGATAAAGAGAAAAGATAATTTTATAGCCAAAGAAGAGCACAAGAAAAGTGATAGTGATGATGATAAATGCTGAGAGATGATAAGGGAAACTCGGTGGACCTTTTAACTCTTTTCATGGAATGTCTTTTCCAATGAATTTCCAATGAATTTCCAATGAACAATTTCAACCCAAATATTCATGTTGAGGGAACGAAAAAAAAGTAACAACAAAAAGTCTCGATTCATCAATGAATATGATTATTGTGAGAGAAGTGTAAAGTCAAATTTAGATTAACAATTGTTTACTAAATTTTCATGGTTAAGTTCAATGAAAAAAATTTCTTTTCTCTGAACCTTTATACTTAAGAATTTTTAATTTCAACTTGGAATGTCATTTAAATTAATGTTGGTCATCAACTAATTGGAAGTAATGAGGTTCATAATCATTCTGGTCATCAAGTTGAATGTTGAATGTTTTCAACTCAACAATTGAAAAGCCTTTTCTCTGCCTTTTCCAGTTCAATGATGATGATGATGGTGATTTGAATGAACATTTTATTCAGTTTATTTCATTCTGATGAAGAAGAGGAGAAAAAATTTTTTCCTTTTCACTAATAACCATTTTTATCATTTACATTATCAACTAAACTTAACGCACAAACGACAAATGATAAATAATATTTGAAAATGAAAATTAATTTTCTCAATTGGAATATAAAACGATAATAAAAGGATAAAAAGTGTAACTTAATCATGTTAAAAAGTATATTATCATTAATGTAATTTATTTTGTAGAGAAAAGTGAATGTAAAAAAAAGCGAAGTAAACTGATGATGATATTAAGTCTCACTCCTCATTGTGTTAAATGGACTTTAAGGTTGAATTGAAAAATTGAACAAAACTGACAGGAAACTGAAATGAATCATGAAGAGAGTGAGGATGGAAAAGAGTTGGTAAAAATGGAGATTCTAATGAAATTAAATTCTAGATTCTCATTTTATAATTTAATCAAATATTATAATATAATACTTGCATGATAAGGAACAGGAAAAAGAAACTTTTGCATGTTAATGTACAAGTTGTCCAGTTGTGAAACGGAACACGAAATTTGGTGCAAAAAAAATAACTTTAATACTGGGAGGCTTAAGATAATGATAGGGATAATGATGTTGCCAGGGATGCTGAGGATGGTGAAGAAGAAGCCGAGAAAATGTGAAATATGATGGTTAATATAGAGATGAATATTATGATTGAAATGAGGATGAAGTGAAGAGTAATGTGAGAAAGGCTCAATTTTTGTTAACTTGATTGGGCCAGAGTGACACTGTCAGGTGAGATTTAAGACTAACTGGGTGAATGATGAAGCCAATGTTCAGATGATGACTGGCGTGAAACAATGATCAAAGTGAGGGAATGACTTGACAGTAAGAGGCTGATATTGAGCTCTAATCGATGGGACAAGAGTGACTCTACTGGGTTGAGATTCACCAGCAGTTTAACCTATTTGACTGTGAAAATATTACAATGAAATAACGAGGTAAATGACGAGAAATATGATGCTGAAGATGATATTAAAGTATTAGAATAGTTTTTTTACAGCATTTTTTTACTCACCAAATATTATATGAAATAACCGTATTGAGGTTAGATTGAAATATAATTGACCGCCTGAGGTGAGAATCAGGGAATCAAATATATTTATCAAGATTGGTTATCTTTTTATTTTTTATTTGTATCATTTATTATGATAATCTTTCTGGATAAAGATGATATTACAGAAAATGGATGAAATTTTTTACATTCTGAGGTTTATTTTTAATATTACATTAACATTTTTGTCTGGTAAAATATCAATTCCATTGTCTTGATGCCTTTACCTTCAAGTTTAGTCAACTCAATAGGAACTTTTAAATCTTGTTAAATGCTGATTATAATCTTGTGATTGCGATAATATTGTTATCATTATTATCCTCTAAAATGGCTGTATTATTTTCAATTTTTGCAAATTTTATCGCTCAATCTTTCGGTTTGACTGATAAAATCTTTTCAGATAAAATCTGACTTTGTGCTTTAAAAGCGGTTCTGTGGTTTGAATTAATTGTATATCAATAGACTATTTTATTGGTCAAATTGATATTCAGAGACACAGAATTTATGGCTACTTTTTTGTATTCTCTTGGTTGGAATAAAAAAAAGCAAATCTGATGAAAAACCATTAGATTGTAACGACAATAATTGTCAATATTATTGGCCAATTGAAACTTTTATTTCCAACAGATGAACGTTTGGCGAAATAATATTTTTGCATTCTTCAAACTTGAGCTTCCAATGGAAAGAAAGCAAAGTGAAAGTAAATAAATGGTCTTTGTTTATCCTTTTGTTTGTTCATTCATAGTGTTCAGATTTCATGAGATTCCAGGAAATGGATCAGATAACACATTTTAAATGGAGTAATAAGAGTTGAAATTTTGGGGCATAAATTGAACCAAATAGCTTTCCATTTATATACATTAAAGTATTATCTTTTTAATATCATTTCCTCCATTGAGATGACAAAACGTTTGCTCCATTTTTTGTCCCTATTACAAAAGGTAAGATTATTGAAATCAGTTGAAGTTGATATGAGCAAACGTACGAACGTAAAATACCTTTTTCTTTGGTGTCTTTTCAACGTCTGTCTCGGTGTTGGGCGGTTGAGTCTTTTCAGGTTCAACAAAACCAACAAATGAAAAGGGCAACATGAGTAACTGTCCATTTAGGTTTGTCACTGGCTTTAAACGTTCAATGTTCAATGAGGGAAAATGTACAAATGCAGATGACATATGTTATCCCCATGTTGTACATTGCGCTTTTTTGTACACATATTCAAAGGTCCATTGAAAGGTACAATGTCCAGCAAAACAGCAACCCAAAGGATCCTGAAAAGGACACGAAAACCGCCCCAAAAAAAGGAACCATCAAAGGCAGCAAAAAGGTATCCGATCAGGTAAAGAGACTCCTACTGTTTGCTTTCTCAGTTGTTGTTTTTTTGTTAAACTGACTTTGAAAAGGAAGACCAAAATGATGATGAGGATGAAGACGATGCCAACAAGCTAGAGAGAAATGTAAGAAGAAAAAAAATATTAGCAAAAAGGTACGACAAAGTAAACAATATGTATATACATATATTTATATTTGGGAAACAGGTAACAATGAAGCTTTCACCATTGATAAAAATACTTTTACTGATGAGCATTTCAAGGTGAGTGATGAGAAAAGGTAGAAGAATGGAAATGTCTTGAAAGTAATTGACAAAAATAATATTGAGAGAAACATTTCTTCTTCTTCTTCTTCTTATCCTTTTAAACTTGCTCCAAGTTTGTATTTGTCATTTTACAATGTAAAATGTTAAACTTGATGTTAAATCTTGTAACAATCGATATAATTAATGGGACAAATATTGTATTTGATATTGTGTTTTACAATGTAAATGTTGCTACATTCAATCGTTCTGTTCTACCTTTTCTTACCATTTCAATTTGCTTAACAAATAATGTTTATCACCATCTTAGCGACAACCATTTACATTGTTACAACCTAATGTAATTCATAAGCAATTCCTTGTATTCCTGATCAATTTTCACTTTTTAGCTTCTTCCAAAACATTGAACATGTCGCATTTACCATTCATGGGTAAAGTGCACCAATAGCTTCTGCATCTTCATCACCTTGTTGACTGTGAAAATTGAGCCTGAATCTTGAGCTAAAATTTAAATTACTAATTTGCTAACCACGTAACAAATTACCATGGATTAACAGCTCAGAATGAAATATCGGGAATCTTTAAACATATCTTGTATTGCCTTGTGTTTCAACAATTTTACACTAATGACGTTCCTAAAGTGAAAAGACAATCATGTTTGAGTAAAAACGCTTTCACTTTTAGCTCTTATTCGTATGGTAAATGTTAACCATTGAATACTGAGAAATTGAATTGAAATCCAAGTGAAACTTCAATTGATTTGGCAAGTGAATTTAAATTGATTTAGATTCAGGGACTTATTGAAATTTTGGGATCAACTTGGAATAATGAATTAAGATTTTTTCTCTCAAATTCAATTCAATTTCAACATTTCTTTTGAAATTGAAATTTATATAAATTCACGTAATTTCATGCAATTCTGTGCTTAAGTAATCAATTTTACTAGTTCTAGATGATGTCTATTGTTACATGGATTGTACTTTGTTGGATAATTTAATCAAAAATTGTATATAATGCGGTAAACATGCAACTAATAAAGTGAACATGAAATTGTGAATAAATTAATAAGTTGATGATAAAATTGATAAGAAGATTAAATTATTGTATCATGTTAACTGCCCACACCTTGATTAACATTTTATTGTACAATTGTTATTAATATTTTATTTCACTGTTAATATTATAATACTCTTTGGTATGTTTTTATCATCAATGGGACTGCACCTTTCACAGGTAAAAAAAGCCGAACAAGATGATGAAGATGAAGAGGAAAGAAGAAGAAAAAAAGATGAAAAGTTATCATCATCTTTCACTAATACCTCTATGGATGGTAAAGATGCAGAAATATGATGAGAACAAGGTTTGGCCTTTAATCCCGTTTCACCTTTCGTTTGCATGAACTTTTCATCTTGACTTTACTTCCATTGCTTTTATTACCTGCTTCACTGTTTGATAAAAATATTAACATTGAAGGTTAACATTGAAATGAAGAAGAAAAAAAAGATTAGTTTTGATACAAATTTATCTCTAATAGTGAAATGAATTTTTCAATTTGTATTTAGATTGGCAAATTGCTGAATAAAGCTTCAATCAAAATGCGTGATTATATTGCAATTGGAAAGCTTGCCTTGCTTATTGCTGTTATTGCTGTTGCTGATGATGTTGATAGCAATGATGAGCTCAGATATCTCAATGTAACTTTCCTGGTAACCATTAATTCTGATCGTCAAGGTAATAATATCATTTCCTTTTCATCCAACCTGGTCGTTATCCGTTGTGAGGTCATCTTACTTTCAGTGTCCATCATATCTGAATTCAATAAAAAAGAGAAATGAATTAGTTTTAGTTCGACTTTTTGTTTAAATGTTTTATGACAAAATTTTGGAGTTGGTTGGGGAAGCATTTTAAAGTGGTTTTGAGGAGGCGAAAATTATTTAACATTCAATTCTGTATTGATTATGTGGTTAGATTAAAGACCCTAAAGGTGTTTAATAGTTAATTCAAACTAGGTGAATGTAAGAGGTAAAAAACTGACAAAATGTATACATAATCAAAGATGTATGAAATGGGTTTGCGAAAAACTCAGAGAAAGCAAAATACATGGTGGAAAAAGGATGGAATTGTGAATAAAATTGTTCTGCCTGACAGATGAATCGATTCAGAACTTAATTGTATTTATATTAAGGCTAAAATTAATAATCAGTTTGAGTTGAAAATAATTGCTTCAGGCAATCAGTCAATTGAAATGAATGTCAGATTATAATAGGAAGTGAGAAAGAACAAGAAACAAAAAAAACTGTTCACTCAAACACCGAAATAGAAAGTGTCATTGATATTGAATTGATGATTGAATGACAATTTAAATACTATAGCAATTAATTTGGTAAATACTTTTTCACCTGAAAGATGGCAATTTATCATAATAATGGTTAAAGAAGGAAAAACGAACAAGAAAATTAAATTACTTTTATCTAATCAAATGATAAATTGCATGTTTAATGGTCAATTAAAGAGTAATTGGCCAATTCTTTAATAAAATATGTTTGTTTCGGTTAACATTTACTTTGATTGCAATTAAAAGTCCAAAATTTTGTACTTCTTTCTTTCTCTGATTATAATGGCAAGTTTAAGGTAAATAATAGTTCAAACATGACTTCAAGATCACAGATTGATGGCTGACGGATTCAACATGTGCTTTGCGATAGTGGTTAAACTAGATATCCTAAGATGGCCATTAAGGTTGATATCCACAGGCTCAAGGTAAGCTATCAGTTCAAGCCAAAAGAACCAAGTGATTAAATTGATTAACACAAGTTTAACACACTAATCAATAACTAAAAGAGTCACTTACAATGTAATACATTAGACATGAGGTAACATTGATAAAAAAATATCAAGAATACCTGCTGTTGGAGTAGTTTTGATTAAAAAATACCATGATAGGAATGTTGTTGAATGATAATTTAACAGGCAAGTTGAATCAATATACACAAATACACATTAACAATTAACAAATTACATTAAATCTTAATAAAGAGGGTAAAGAAGGGTGTTGGTTAAAAAAACATGTGAAAATATGGCGCTTCTTCACTGAATTTAATTTGGAGGGAAACGGTTAAAGGGGTTGTCTTTTAATTAATAAACTCTTGAGAGCCATTTTTGAATTGAACAAAACTGATTAATCAATAGTTTCCAATTTTTAGTAATTAACTAATCAACCCCTAAACAATTGAACTATCCAAGTATTAAATTAAACTGACAATCTGTTAAAACTGCAAGGTAAAAAATTTGATTTGAAAAATATATCTTTTACCTTGAAGCCATTTTAATTAAGGTTACCATTACAACTGGCATCAGTAAGACCAGAATAATCAGAGTCTCATGTAATAACCATTGATTGTTGGTCAATTGTGTTCAACAATTACGCTGTTGTCCAATTAATTTGACCAGTTAAATGAAAGGGAGAGAAAGTTAATCAAAAGGTAGTGAAAAAAGAGGAAGAAATGAAATTTTTGAGAATGAAAAGATTGAACAGAAAATTTGACAGAAAATTTTTAAACCCAAATCTAGGTAAGATGAAAATGTAGTTACCTTGTTATTACTGTTATTACTGATGTTACTTTAGCTTCTGATGGTGATTACTATCATTATTATGATTATATCACTGAGCTTGATGATACTTTGTTCACTATTAACCTTTCACATTTTCATTTCTCTTTCACTGGTTTACCTTTTTTTTCAATTGTATAATTTTTTTCCTCTTCATTTTCAATGCTATTCACTACTGACCCAAGTCCACTTTTGTACTTCTCTTTACCTCGCCAAATTGGCCATTGTCTGTGTGTCCTTAAAGATGACCCTCAATGATTTTAGACAAACATTTACCTCAAATGTTTCCCTGTGAATGAGGCCTGACAGGATGAAACAAGAATGGTAATGATGATCAGCTTCAAGTAACCAGATTTCCCTCAAGCAATTGACCAAGTTAAACTCATTATTTTTCATCATTATCATTACAATATTCATATATTTATATCAATAATTTCATGTAAGATTTACTTTCTTTACACACACAATTACCTTTTTTTTCAGGCCTACATCATTATGTGCATTTGCTTGTTTCGAGAATGGTTTTGTTGTTGCTTTTTGTGCTTCATTTTGATGGCTTTTTGTTTGTTGATGTTTGCTTCTGTTGTTCAACAATGTCACACATTATACCTGAAATATACAGTTTAATAAGGGGATATCATTTGCAAGATTTACAGGAAAGCTTTTCAATTCTCTGATGATAATTCAGTTGAACACATTTTCTCAACTTCTCTCAATGAGTTGCTTAAATAAAGTCTAATTTTAACATTCTTTTACCATCTTGTCATCAATTTGTTCACAAGCTTTCCTCAACCTTTTTTTATACTTTAAATTTCAATCTTCATATCCTCATCATCCTCATCATTGCTGGTTCCTTTTTGCCAGTTCTCATTTCATTGTTTTACCAAAAAGCTTTCCAAAAAATTTATCAACCTAATCACCCATTTGCATAATGAGAAAGTCAACTTTCACAAGTTAACCATTGAAGAAGCATCAACTTTACCCTGAAACGAAAAATGAAATATCTTATAAAGAAAAATTTCCATTCCATTTTTATCATTACATCTGGGAAAAAATAATAATAATTAACTCTTTCTTTATTAGCAATTAATTTTGCAAAATTCAAATTGTAACATCAGTTTGCTTTTTCAAGTTTCAATTTTAAAAGATATCACTGGCTTAATTAGGTAACAGCCCCTAGAGATGGGCGATTTTCGATCACAGTGGTGATCGATCTTTTCGATCGATCTTTTTGCTAAGTCGATCGATCTCTTAAACGAGCGATAAATATCGATCTGAAATTTTTCGATATTTGAGCTTCTTTTCACTATTTTTTTACACAAAAAACACTTTAAAAGACAATTTTAATCAAAATAAACTTCTGTTATCGAGCAGAGGATGTTTCGATATGATCGATCTCCTTTAAAATTGATCACGATCAAATTTTTCTCTCCGATTATCGATCTTTTCGATCGATCAATCATATCGGAACATCTCTAACAGCCCCTGGTCTCAATGTTTACCACATTTTTGCATAGGAGCCATCTTTTTCAATGTAAGTATTGGGAATTTTTTTACGCATCATTTTTAACGATTAATATTTGTTTATTTTTTGTTATTAGCTTCGCTTGACCACACTACGAGTTGCCATTTTTATTACCATCCGGACGCACCTTTGCTTGTGATGCACGTTTTTATGATGGAAAAGTGTTTACTTGTTAAAGATATTGACCAACAGTTATCTGTACTAAATGTACACTGGCTTCTTGTTATCCTGATCGTTCAATTTGGACAATAAATCTTGGTTAATTAGACACTATTACGAAGGTTTGGCTGTTAACCCGTTTGCAGCTGTTTGTCATGGCTGCATAATTTTGTAATTAACACTTTGAAAAGTGTAACTCTATACTTTTGGTGATTAATTTCAGCTTTTCGGTGAACACTTTAGTTTGGTCAAGCTCTTCAACTCTAAGCGTTTTTTTTCGTGAAACCCTTTCACCTTTAACTTATCAGTACAACCAGATTATAATGGAATCGTATTTGGATCACAATCATGCGTTTCCCTGTCCGTTAACCATACTGATCCTGACAAACGATCAAGACTTTATAAGGTGATTACAATGAGGTTCAGGATAAAAACCTTTTGATCGATTAAATCCACTCGTATCAGTACAAAGGTTTATGCAATTAATAGCGTTATTCAGATGAGTTTCCAAAAACAGTTTCTGGCTGATCTCGCTGTTTTTATTCAATTTATTGAATTAAAATGACAGATCAAGCCTAAAAATCTCGACTCACTTACAACCACAACTATTAACTGCTATTTTTAATCAACTTTTGTTAATTTTAATTGCTTAAACATTTACACTGATAAACATTGTAAAATTGTTGGTAAAATTGTGCCTCAACTAAAAAAAGGTTTTGGCTTGAGTTAACAAATTTCACTGAGAAAATATCTCAAGCTCAATTTACTTGGAAAGTGACTTTAATCTCTCCTCTGTTCAACATTATTTGATTGATATTGTCAATAATTATCATGAAGGTAATTAATTTTGATTGCTAAATGTGACTTTTAACCGTTAATTTACTGTTTAATTGATCAGTTACGAGTTAAACTTGAAATACATCTTGAATGAAGGCAAACTTGAACAGTAAAATGTACATGTAAAGATACGGAAAATGGGCTGAACAATGGTCAATGAAGTAATAGTTTCCCTGAACTCTTTTGCTCCACAAATAATTGATTATCCTGAGTAGTTAATTCATTTAAGGCCAACAGTTGATTGAACAATTAAAAGCATTTGCGTTGATTACATATCATTGTAACTGAAGCAATTAATGCCTTTTGGACAATTTT